TCATAAACCGTTAGATTTGTTATTTACTCATATTTGGGGTCCGTCTCCCTACTTATCTAATGATGGCTACAAGTACTTTGTTTTATTCGTGGATGATTATTCTCGATATATGTGGTATTACCCAATGAAACAAAAATATGATACTTATAGCATTTTCCATAGTTTCCGCACTATTGTTGAACGCCAATTTTCAACCTCCATAAAACAAATACAATCTGACCTTGGTGGTGAATATCGAGAGTTACACTCCTTATTTACCACTCTTGGCATTACTCATCGGCAATCATGTGCATCACCACGTGGTTGAAACAGGCCTCACGCTTCTTACTCAGGCCTTTCTTCATCATCATTTTTGGCACTATGCATTTGAAACCTCGGTCTTTCTTATTAATCGCATGATCACTCTTGTCCTTAACCATCACAGTCCATATTCCGTCTGTTTCATCATCAACCTGATTATTCCTTTCTTCGGGTGTTTGGTTGTTTGTGCTTTCCCTACCTTCGTCCCTATAATAATCATAAAATTGATCTTCGCTCTAAGTCATGTGTTTTCTTAGGCTATCCTACTCACTTTCATGGTTATCGATGTATGGACCTTGAAACAGGGAAAATATTTATTGTCCACCATGTCCGATTTAACGAAGTTGTTTTTCCTTTGGCAAAAGATTTATCTGTGCAGGTACCACTGCCATCTCCGATATCTCAGGATCCTGATCAGCCGTGGGCATCTCTTCCCATATGCTCTAATATTCCAAATGCAGGCAAACCCATAGTGGCAGAACCTCCTGTTATGGATCCTGTGGTGTCTTCATATCCACACACTGTAACACTTGAGATTTAATATAAATGGATTAATAGTACTACTCATACCAACAAGATGCATCTTCTTTTAAGGGAGCTCATCACCAAGAACTCCAAAGTTAAGCGTGCTTGCACGGAAGTAGTCTTGGGATGGGTGACCCCCTGAGAAGTTTCTCAGGGCGCGCATGAGTGAGGACAAAGTGCGCGGTAAAGGCTAGTGGTGGTTTGTGAGGACAGTACTATTGGTCCGGAGTAACTACCTCGGGTCTTGCGGGGTCGAGGTGTTACACACACACCTACTATGGATGTTACTTCCTCCAGCCACACACCATCCAAACCACCAGGCTTTGAACATGTTGTTTTACCCTATGTGGTTTCTGATGCTCCTACTCCACCACCAGAGGCATCTGCTCCTGCTCCACGTCGGGCTCACTCCATGGTTTTACGCCATATGACCCACGCTTCATCTCTACCGCATGCACTTGTTACCACTTCAGCTTCTACCAGTGAACCCACGTGTTACTCTCAAGCTGCTCTTAATCCCAGTTGGCGCATGGCTATGGATCAGGAAATTAATGTTCTCTTAGATAATGGTACATGGACACTTGTTCCGACTTATTCTACCATGAATGTTGTCGCTTGCAAATGGGTATATCGGATTAAGTGTAGAGCCGACGGAACGTTACAAAGCCCGTTTAGTTGCAAAAGGCTTCAATCAAATTGAGGGTGAGGACTATTTTGAAATACTCAGTCTAGTGGTTAAACCAACGACGATACACACTATACTTGCCTTGGCTATCTCCTCAGGTTGGCATATTCGCCAACTTGATGTCCATAACGCTTTTCTTAATGGCTATCTTGACGAAACTGTTTTCATGAAACAACCCCTGGTTATGTTGATAAAGACAATCCTACCATGGTATGTAAACTGCATCGTTCGTTATATGGCATTAAACAGTCTCCTCGGGCTTGGTTTCGTCGTCTACATGATTTTCTCATTCATTTGGGGTTCCGGTCTTCTAAAACTGACATTTCTCTATTCATTTTAAATGACCAACATATTCAGCTCTACATGCTCGTGTATGTTGATTGTTGATGACATTCTCTTGGTAGGAAATGATCACTCTGCTCTTAATCATGTTCTAGCTAAGCTCCTTTCGGCCTTTAAAATAAGGGATCTTGGTGGTTTAAATCTATTTCTTGGACTGAAAGCAGTCTATTCTGGTAACAATCTCATGCTCTCCCAACGGCGTTACGTGACTACATTTTTAGACCATGCAGGTATGACGTCATGCAAAGGTATTAGTACTCCAATGTCTACCTCTCCTACCTTTAGGCCCCTTTACTGCGCCTAGTACACCTTTTCATGATCCTCGGCTTTATCGCGGCATTCTTGGCGCTTTGCAGTATGCTACTCTCACTCGTCCTGACTTGTGTTTCCCAGTCAACAAGTTAAGTCAGTTCATGCATGCTCCTACTGAAGATCACTGGAATGCGCTCAAGCGCCTCTTGCGGTATGTCAAACATACTCTTTCTCCCAACTTGCAATTATCCAAATCATCATCCATAGAAATTTTAAGCATTGTCGGACTCGGATTGGGCCGGTAGTTCTGATGATCGCAAATCCACTGATGGTTTTGCTGTTTATATTGGCCGCAACTTGGTTTCTTGGGTCTGTCGCAAACAAAAAAACTGTGGCTCAATCTTCTACCGAGGCGGAATACAAAGCTCTAGCTGATACCGTTGCCGAAGTCACTTGGTTAACCTCTCTGTTTCGAGACCTGAGACTGGCTCTTCCTCAACCTCCTTGTTTATGGTGTGATAATCTGGGAGCTACGTATCTCTGCGCTAACCCAATCTTCCATGCTCGTACTAAACAAATAGAAGTCGACTATCACTTTGTTCGTGATGCGGTTGCCTCGGGGGCTCTTTCTGTCCGATTCATCTCTACCAAAGACCAAATTGTTGATATAATGACTAAGCCACTCCCATTTATCCGTTTTGAGTTTCTTAGGGACAAGCTGCAGCTCGTTACACGACCTTTGGCTTGAGGGGGGAGTATAGGGTCACACACATATTCTCTGTTAGAGTTCTATGAGGACTCTTCTTGTGTAAAGCTTATCTCATTAAACAGATAGGATTATGCGAGAGCAAATCTCTCTGTATAGCTAACCGATTACGTATGTATATGCTAAGTATATGTGTATATATATCTCTCTGGTATAGAGAATAGATAATACAATACAAAACATTCAATTTATCAATATAGTGTTCTCACTGTTTTTACTTGATTTATTTTAATCAAATTCGATTAGACTAAACTAGACTTGAAATGAGAGAGTGTTGTCTAGTATGAATAATGTCTCTTTTTTTTAAGAAAGAATGACCACAAGGTGACTGTGGAGTCCCGTATGGACAAAAATGTGAACAATTCAAGTTTTAGACAAAAAACGGATTAAAACAAAGGTGAAAAGTCCCAAATAGCCCTGCTCTCAGCCCTAATTTCAATCTACTGAACTTTCCATTTTAGTCTCCACCAATACCGCGGTCCGCAACTCTTGCCATGAAATGGCGGATTTCATCCGACGAATATGGCGACCAAACCGCGATCCAGCCCACCCTCATCTTCGTCAGCATCGACTCTTCGACGGACGGCGTCCGCTAGGAAGAGCGACGGAGGTGGCAGCTACGAAGAGCTACGATGGCGGCGACGAAACCTTCCATTGGAACTCCTCTCCTCCTTTCCTTCTCTTCTTCTCCTTTCTTTTTTGTCCGGAAATCGTTGTTGCTCGCTTCGTCGTCATTTCATCCTGCGGTGCGACAAGCTTTGTCGATCCAACGAGGAACTTCTAATCCGGCGGCGAGATCTATTGATCCGGCGGCGTCTTCGTTGGGTTTGAGAGCCACCGGCGACTCTGGTGACTACGACAGATTCACATCTCGAACCTTAGCAGATCTGGAACTCTTATGCTTTGGGGGCTGGTTAGGCAGGGGAGGGCGGGGTAGTGACGGAAGTCAGGAAGTTTGTGTAGGCGATGGTGGCAGTGATGGCTGGGTGAGGCAGTGGTAGGTGGCCAGGGCGAGCACGGGTCCGTCAAAAGTCATTGTCGATGTTTCCACAGTGGTCACTGTCGATGTCACAGTCAACAACCATTTTGCCGGTGGTTGTCACTGTCATTATTGCTGACAGGAGATTGGTAGGCACTAGGCAGTGTTGGTCACTGTCATCAGCGACCCTCACTGTCGCCGGCGGAAGTCAATGTCACCCTCACTGTTGCCGGAGGATTGGTAGGCAGTGTTGGTCACTGTCACTAGCGGGGATTTGTCACTTTGATGGTTGTCGGAGGTGATCGGCGGTTGTCACTGTGTTGGTGGTCGGTGATGGTCACTGTTATCATCGGTAGTAACTGACCGAGTGGTCACTGGACGGAAGTCACTATAGAGTTGGTCACTGTCGCGGTGGTCGGCGGTGGCCGGCAGCGGTGGTTGCCGGAGGTCACTATAGCGGAGGTCACTGTATGGTAGGTCACTATGACAGACTAGGTCACTGTTTGATAAACTAACTAAGGGTTAGGGGTAATTTAGTAAGTCTAATGTTTATTAGTCACATTTTTGGAAAATAAAGAGAAAGTTCACTTTTATGCCCATAACCAATTTTTAACTAATATTTGTGACCTAACCCGTTTTTTTAACTACAAAATTGAGTAAATCAAATAAAAACATGCCTGTCCTCCCAATCAATGTTCTCATTTTTTTTGGGGCATCCATTTCTTAATTCGCTCTACCTTCCAAGTTCCATCCCAGTCAGGCAGTCAGAGCAAAGGGTGTACAATTGCACATACTCCCACCGTCTCCGAAAGAAGTTCCCACTTTCCTTATTTGAATGTCCCTAATTTAAGTTCCCATTTCCTTAAATGGAAAGTTATCTACATCTAAATAGTGCAAAACAGTGTCAAACAGTGTCAAACAGTGTCAAAACAGTGTCAAAACATTAAAATTTACCACCTGGTAAGTTTACTTGCATAAAAGTGTGTGAAAGTCAAATGAGGAACTTCTTTCGGAGACGGAGGGAATATTATTTTAGAAAATTCTTAGTGTACATAATTTTAAACAAATTGTACACAAAAACACTCTAGTTGTCTGTGTACATGCGATATTTTAAAAAGGAGCTGTAGTTAATGTTAAATTGCTTGTGTACACCCAGTCCCATATTTTATTATTTCATGTTTTCTGCCAGCTTTTACAAAGGAAGCTCAAGATGAAAATGGCGATTTGACGAACTATGTATCATTGATGTAAAACTGATTTTTCTTTAACCCTAAGCAGAATTCACTCTGAATGTACGGTCTATGTACGATCGCCATACACATGCATCTCGTTCTTCTTGATTAGAACTTCAGGGTTTCAACTTGAAACTTTCAAGTCTAGGCTGTTATTGTTCAGGCGAGGATCAGCCATGGATGTTGAATTAGTAACAGACGAAATGCCCGAAGATGAAGGATATGATTTTGATGAAAATTTTGAAGTAAGTATTTATTTCCTCTTTTGAATAAAAACGAAGTCTGCTTAGCCGTGTTTCTGTTAAAATATTTTGTGGTTGCTTATTTTCCCAGCGGTAATAATTCCTTGAGCTTTCATTTGATTGACTCTTTAGTCATAGACGAGCTTGCAGTATAATTTCAAATAGCCAGAGAACACTAAAACAAGTATCCGTAGGCCTTTATATATGCAAGGAACATTGTTTTCCTCTGCATTGATAATGAGAAACTGATTTTAAAAAGAAGAGATTTAAATTGCAACCCTAAAAGTCAGAATAGAATTATAGAATGACTAATATTTTAAAAAGAACTGAAAGTTGAGATTTCCATGAATTCACATAGTAAGCAAATTTCTTAATATTCATTTCTTTAAAGGCAGGATTGCTTAAGCCCCCCTCCTTTCATCAAAGCTTTATAAAGTTTTGGGTTTTTTCTCCACCACATTTGAATTCCAGTGAATTGTGATTTTCCGAAGCAGGAATTTTCTACTTTTGAGAGTGAAAGATGTGGCATATGTATGGATGTTGTCATCGACAGAGGAGTTCTTGATTGCTGCCAACATTGGTAATAGACTAAATACTCAACCTCCAATTTTAATTTTATTGGCAAAATAAAAAATTTAGTTGTAATTAATCACATGCCATGACCCTCCCTCTCCTGGTAAAGGAGACAAAATATTGATCTAATGTTAGGATGCAATATGGTGGTTTTGTGCTTTCAGCCCCTAATAATGAATGATGTCAAGAGACTTTATTCTGCTACAATTTCAGGTTCTGTTTTACATGCATTGACAACTGGGCCACCATTACAAACTTATGTCCACTCTGCCAGATTGAGTTTCAATTGATCACATGTGTGCCGGTCAGTACTCAGTATGAGAAACCACCCTACACTTTATGTTGTCTTGCAGTAATGCATGCAATGGCTGCAGTAATGATGATTTTATGAATGGGAAATTTGTTTATTGGAGCGTTGCATTCTCATCTAAAGTCTTTTAAGATTTAAATGGAATATAAATAATGCTTATGTATCCATATTTTCACGTCATGAAGGTGTTTGATACCATTGGTGGTAACACAAGCGATGATGATTCCAGGTATTCTTCTTATTTATTGCACAGTCTCATGTATTTGGTTGAAATCTATAAATTTCAGCTTCTAATTATCATGCACTGTGTGGAATAAAGACAAGTGTTAGATAGCTATAATTATAGCAAGAATTGCTACTAAATAAATTGGAGAGAGAAGACGGTGAATATCCGTTGCTGTTGTACTGCCATTTTTGCTTTGAGCAGGTGTTATTTGGTCTGATATTTGTTAGCGATGTGGTTAATTTACTATTGGTTTCTGGCTTTCAGCAACATGTGATGACATGAAACTGATTTTCCTTTTCTTGACAGAGACGATGACTGGTCCATTGAAGGAAAAAACAACACTCTCTCATTTCCGTCGTACTATATTGATGAGAATGTGAGTTAAAATCTGTATACTGCTGGTGTATTATGTGACAACGTGAGTTAAAAACTGTATGGTGCCTGTGAATTATATACACCCAAAGGAAAAACTAATCAAATAAAGCAAAAAGTTCATCATTATGTTGCCAGACATTGAAAGAGTTTGGCGTGGTGCTTCACAAGATTATTTGCTGTTTCAATCCCAAGTGTTTAGAAATCAAAACTTTTCTGATCTTGTGAATACATGCATTTTTTTGTCTTGTATAGGCAGTTGTCTGCTTGGATGGGGATGGCTGCAAAGTCCGGACTGGATCAGCAGGAAATGAAGATGATTCAAATCTTGATACTTCGATTGCTTGTGACTCGTGTGATATATGGTAAGTTTGGTCTTGACCTTTTCTGAAGCTCGACGTGCCAACCATACCTTAAGATTACCATTTTCTGAAAATTTCAATTGCTGAACTTAAGTTTTTTGTGCTTTCCTTCATATTTTGTTTTGTTGTTTTCATTTCTCTGATAATGCTGTCTTACCATCATCATTTGACTTGTGACTGATCAGGTACCATGCTTTTTGTGTTGGATTTGATCCTGAAGGATCTTGCGATAGCTCATGGTTATGCCCAAGGTACTGTAAGTGGAACTACTTTCCTAGATTTTGTATATCTTAATAAATGCATTTACCTGCTGCAGTCGCATGGGGGCATGTAGATTAGATCAATGCCTGTCACTTTTGGCATGTATTTTCCATTTTTACACCTTTAAAGCGTGGGTTTTCATGAGCTGAGTTTGCTTCTCCAAACTCATCAGCCCCCACCCCCTCATTCCCTTATAATCGCATCTAATGGGAGGCTAGGGTCATATGCTGCATGCTGAATATATCTGGCAGCATAATTTGCTTTACTCTGCAGATGTGTTTCCGATAATGTCCTTGGCAAGTTGGATGTATCCAACTCCATCAACCAATGTGATCCAGAGAATACAAGTAGTAACCCCTCAACTGAGGCTCTTTTTTCTGGTAAAGTATGTGTCGCTGTTGCTGATGATGGTGAAACTGCTGTTGTTGTCTCAATGGTTGAGGGAGATCATGAGGGTGGAGCATCGGTTGGACAAATGTTGACCTCACATTCTAGTGAGAACATTGAAACTGAGACACCATCATCTAATTCTGTTGTTGATATTCCCAATTCAGTATCGACTGTCAGAGACTGTATCATGCCAAACTTGAAGCCAGAGGACCAAGAACTGCCCTCTTCACACGAATATTCAGATTTCACTTCATCTTCTGCTGTATCAGCTAATGCGGAGACAAACATTAGTGATCAAGATGCATCTACGTTGATACTTCTAAATAGATCTGCTGAGCATATTAACAATGCAATAATAGATCCTGGTTTAACAGTGGGATCTTGTACAGAAGGTAGTTTCATACTTTTGCTGTTTCCTTGGGATATAAATTCTCATGCAAATTGCAGATCTATCATAGATATATTTCATTTGAACCCTGTTGTTTCATGTCTTAAAAATATTTACATCTTGAATGACAGTTAAATGGATGAACATCAAGTGCTCGGATATGTGCAGTCTAAGCAAATGTGTTGGGTTTATTAAGAATCTTATTAATTTGAGGAGTACTCTTGAGCACTACCTCGTGTTTGATTCAATTTTAGAAAATTATGTAAAAATGTCATCTTTGAAAACGGTGCCTTCTAAGTAGTACAGAATCGCGCGATGGGAAACACACAAGCAGGAAGCGGCAATTGAAAAGAAGGGGTGAAACACGTAAATATTTAAAAATATAAGGTTGTGTTTATAAATATCTATCATATGTGTGTGTATGTTTTTCATAAATTCATATTTCCTCATGTAACTTTTATTAAATAATCAATAACAAATTCAATCTATATGTTTAGATATGGAAGTTATTACCCAATAGTTCATAATAAACAATAAATTCAATACATTTACATCCATGTATTGCATTATGAAATATCACAACGAGCATATTGCCATGAAATAATTTCACAAAACTATAAAAGTCCATCAATAGGTTAAAAACACACTATTTTCCATCAGTGTAACTTATAAAAAAGAAACCATAAATTGGAAACACAAAGTTTCCTCAATGCTAATCAAATAGGGAAACATGTTTTCCATTTCGTTTTAATTACGGAAATGGTACTAAAACGGGAATTTGAAGCATGTGTCCGAGTTTCGGAAACAGGGAAACATGAGCTCTGAGAAGTTTCCGTGCTTCTCAGGTTCCTGTTTTCCTTTTCGTTAGTCCCAAAAAATGGTGCTTTGTCTGCTTAATGAGTGATTCAATTTCTTTCAATCTCCTGCGCACTAAATTTAACGACTCATTATATGTTTTTAAAGAGTGTGCCAAGTTAAGGGGGGTCTTCTTCCAGGGTTGGAGGAAGTAATATATTTTGTAATATGCTTTTTGTTCTAATTAAAAGTATAAAAATATATATGTTTAACATTAACAATGTAGAAAAAAGGTAATTAATAGATTAAGAAAAAAAAGCAATATCTTGAAAATTTGAAATGCCCCAAATTGGGGTGGGGGTGGATGAGGAGGTTGGATGATTCCATGGCTCTACCAAACAAGACTTTAGAGTTCATAAGAAATTTTAGTTTGTTTTGACAGATTTGCAATACTATTATTTGAGATCATATAGATGCTCACTTTTGCTCATTGTCACTTCTAAAGGGCTTCCGGGAAATGAGTCAGATGACAGGGTGACAACAGGAAAGAAGGAAGTTCCTGTTGCAGCTGGCTCTAAGAGAAAACACAAAGAAAGCAGGTTATTAATGTCTTGGTTTTCATCCCTTTCTCGTAATGCTCCCATTGATTCTTTGCTTCCATGAACTTTCTGCTTGATATACTAAACTAAGCCTGGATTTGAATCTAGTTGGGTTGCTTTAATAGTTTCCTTAAAATATTAAGTTGTGAAGCTGAGTCTGCAATTAGTTTTCCTCGGTTTCCTGTTTTTATATATAACAATAATATCAGTGTAGAAAACATGCCCCTTTTTCTTGAAAATGATGCAATTATATACGTAGTATTTCTTTGTAATGCATATGTTACTATTTCTTTCATAATGTGAATCTTGAGATCGAATCATGTTCCCTTCAGCGATCTGCTCACATACTATTTATTGTGTTTTTGTTTATAGAGACGCTGAAAAGGGGAGAATTAATAAAGGTAAGAGTGAGAATCCATATCATTTGAAGAAAGTGAAAACTCTGAGTGATGGACAAATTGATCTTAAGCACCAACCAGTTATAGCCGCTTTAGATGATGCGTCCAGGTCAAGGGCAACTGTTCTCAAAGATAGCAAGACAAGATGCTCATCAAAAAAAGAAAGTACAAACATTAATATTATGGACATAGTTCAGGGTTCAAATCACAAGTCTTTGAAGAAATTTGCACGAGGCCATCCCGACAGTATGTCTTCCTGTAAACAAAGGGAAAATGCTGCTGGCCTGAGAGTAAAAAAGATAATGAGAAGAGTTGATGGTGAAGATTCATCTGTGGTAGTACAAAAATTAAGTAATGATATCAGAGATGCTGTCCGCAGTAAATCCACAGTGGAGTTTGATAAGAAAGGTTTTGAACCAAAACTTCTGGCTGCTTTTAGAGCTGTTGTGGCTGGACCAACAACTGAAACTATGAAGTCACATGTGAATCTGAAGGCAAAACAGTCACTCTTTCAGAAGGGAAAAGTTCGTGAAAATCTAACAAAAAAGATTTATGGCGTCGGGGGAAGGAGACAACGAGCATGGACTCGAAATTGTGAAATTGAATTCTGGAAACATCGCTGCTCTAAAGCATCAAAGCTTGAAAAAATTCAAACCTTAAAGTCAGTTCTTCACCGCTTAAAAGATGACTCTGAGAATGCAGAGGTAAAGCATGCGACTGGAGAGGCAACAGGTTCCATCTTATCAAGGCTATATTTGGCAGATGCTTCTGTTCTTCCTAGAAGTGAGAATATTAAGCCCCTTAATGCTATGGGTAAATCTGAGCACAGAATAGAAAATGGCCGGCCAGCAACTGCTTTAACACAATCTCTCCTGAGTCGCACCAACACAGTTCCCCAAATCAACGAAGCTTCCAAAATGGATCCTATTTCTGTGGGTGCCAAAGTAGCCCCTAAAATGCCTCCGAGTGCTATCAAGAAACCCGATTCTTCTTCCCGAGAACATTTGAGCAAATGCCGTGAAGGGCTAGCAAACACCTCCAGTGTACCATCCAATGGGGAATTTGTCACACCTGAAAATACAAAATCTGATAAAAGGAAATGGGCTTTAGAGTTACTTGCGAGGAAGGCTTCAGCTGTTTCTAAGAATTCAGCAGGGGGCAATGCAGAGGATAATGTTATACTGAAACAAAATTACCCCTTACTAGTACGTTGTCAGCTTCCTTTTCACTTATTGAAGTCTTCTTCCTAATGTTATTTGGTCTCTGAAGTTTGAACTGTTGTCATCATACAATTGTCAATAGGCTCAACTGCCAAAAGACATGCTGCCAGCTTTGGCAACAAGCCGTCACAATAAGGTCCCCATGTCAATCAGGCAGGTAAAGATGATGTTCATTTCTTTTCCTCATAGTGATGTCTTTCAAATTCAAACGTGGTATCATACACATATTTGCAACCTACAACTTGACAACTTCTAGTCGTACCGATAAATAATTAAATATAATAGAAAATGGATCAGTGATGACAAAAGGAAGGAAATCAAGTTCATCTGTAAAAAATCAAAATTAATGTGTGCTGTGTTATGATAAATGTAATTGAACATTTATCACTGCCACCACGTTTTCTTCTTTTAATTTGGTTGATGATCAAAGGAATAATTTAAACCCAAACCCATTTGATGCTCAAAATGTAATTGGAACTTTGGAAGCCATCAATGCACCCCATGGCTGGTTGCGGGATACTGCTGTTAAGCGTACAAATGTACTATCTTGTCCAAGGCCGAGATTGAGAAGGCGGGGACTGATTCGTGTTTTTGAAATTCTTGAGGGTTTTAGTTTAGCTGGTAGCAATAGGTGAAAAACTTTCAAACAGCTTCTAATATTGAATAAATCAGTGTCCGACCTTGTCAAGACACAAAATTTATTCTAAAAGTAGTCTATTACTACGTAATTGAAATTGAGGTCCTATTACAGTTATTGCAAGATACTGAACTGAAAAGGGAACACATATACTTATAATTAGAATCCAGCTAAAACTGAATATATGAACTAGTACTCCTCCATGGTCCTATCCCAAATTATTCTTCTTGTGAAATGATAAGAACCAGACATTTATTTCTGGGAAGAGGGAGTTATATTAAAAGTAGCTTGTAGGCCAAGCAACTGGTCCTATATTTTGTTCTACTTATGTTGATAAAAGTAAAATTTTCAGTTGCCAAAGCTTGATATGATTGTGATGGATCTAAATATCTCATTGCCGGTTTGTTTTGTAACAGGCTCAACTCTACCGTCTTACAGAGCATCTATTAAGAAAAGAAAACCTAGCAGTTATTTGTAGGACTGCAGTAACGGAGTTGGCTGTTGCTGATGCCATTAATATTGAAAAGGAGGTTGCTGATAAGTCAAATAGCAAATTAGTATATGTTAATCTTTGCTCTCAGGAGCTACTTCGTAGATCAGATAATTCTACTTCTGACAAAGCTGACCAATGTACTGAAGTACCATCCAAAAATAGATCAGAATCGTCAATTGAAAATCAAGAATATGCTGACGCTGCTGTCAATGAGGCTCTAGCAAATGCTGGGCTTCTATCTGATTCTCCACCAGGTACCCCACGAAGGCCTATTGAGCAATTCAAAGACGAGACGTGCTTCTCAGATGAAGTTGAAGAGGATGGGCCTTCTGATGTTCTGGATGTTGATGTCCCTCCTCCTGACCTTGATATATATGGGGATTTTGAATACAATTTGGATGATGATTTCACAGTTGCTGGTAACAGTTCTGTGATCATCCCGGAGCCACATCTGGATGAAGAAGCCAACAAAATCAAAGTCGTATTCTCCACAGTCAACCCTGCTGATACATCTGTTATCACTCTTGAACAACCAAATATGGAAGGGAAGGTAACTGTTGAAGCTCCCAAAGTTTCTTCCTGCTCAGTTGAAAATGTTCTTTCAAGCAATCATGCTTCAGTTGATACTGATGATGGAGACCACTGTGCAGATCTTCAGAGTTCTCTTGTCAAAGTTCCCGAAGATTCTTCCTGCTTGGTTGAAAATATTGTTTCAAGTAGTTGTGCATCACTTGATACTGATAATAGAGACAAATGTGCAGACCCTCAGAATTCTCTTGTTGTGGAACGCGGTGAAGAGCTTTCTACCGTGGAATGTGAGGAACTGTATGGGCCTGATAAAGAACCATTGATTAAAAAGTTTCCTGAAATGGCATCAATGAAGCCGTGTGAGCTGGTGATCAATAATCATGTTTCACAAACAAATGGGGTCTGCCAATCAAGCTCAGCTCCTAATTCATCTAATAAGCATGAGTCCAAGAGTGACACCGATAATGTGGAATCTGCTTCTTCCCAGTGTCCTATTTCAGAAAAGAGTCCACTTAAAAAAATACTCGATGGGAGTGAAAATGTACAAAGACGGGACCTTCTATCTAAATCTAATTCCAGAAAGGAATCTGTTAGAACCATCCCTGTCTCAAGAAAGGTAACGACTACAACAGTATTTCTTTGCATTCTTACTTCCCGTCCTTATGGCCCCACATAATAAACCATACCTGTATAGGAAAGAAAAGGGAAAAATAATTTAAATATCGCAAACTTTGAAGGGGTGTGAAGTAAGTACCCTAAACTTGCCCATGTAATATACAAGTATATACCCCAAGCTTTATATAAAAAGATATGTTAGTACCATTATCATATATTCTTCTTTCAAAAATGTAAATTTATGGTCCTAAGTATATAATTTAAAATACCCAAAGCATTTATGAGGATGTGATTCACATTAGATTGAACCCGAGCTTGCTGTATTTAAATTACGTACTTATCATAATAAATTTGTGATCCCTTAAAAGCTTGGTGCATATGCAAGTTTGAGTTATTTATCTCACATTCCTTAAAAGTTTGGGGTATTTTACATTATTTTCCCCACAGGAAAATAATTGATCCACATAATTGGCGGGGAGAAACGGAAGCAATGATGTCTTATTGATTTAGTATTGACTGGTCACATGCTTATTCCATTCTCAAAGGATAATCAAATTAGTTTAAAAAACCAGAGGAATCAAAATCATTATGATCCTCTTGATGGGGGAGGGGGGGATTAGGTCTTTCCACATACTGGATAGTGCCTAGAGATTTCTACATCTTATTTGAGTACACCCTTGGTGAATGTCTGGGCAGGACATTAACAATTAACCTAACATTTCATAATAGGTTGAAGCTTATATCAAAGAGCATATCAGGCCACTATGCAAGAGCGGTGTGATCTCAGTCGAACAGTATAGATGGGCTGTGAGTAAAACTACTGAGAAAGTTATGAAATATCACTCTAAAGACAAAAATGCTAATTTTCTCATTAAAGAAGGGGAGAAAGTGAAGAAGCTTGCAGAGCAGTATGTTGAGGCTGCACAGAATATGCCAATGAAGGAATAGGCGATGATGTAATACTCAATGTATAGCTGGTTCTTTTCGTTTAAATTTACCCCTATATCCTCTGAATGAACGGTAAACTCTTGATGATTAATTCTCGGAGTTTTGCTATGATTGCTGCATGTATAAAATGAGGTAAACACTTGATGATTTATTCTCGGGGTTTTGCTTGGATAGCTGCATGTATAAAATGTTTTAATGCATTCACTCCGCAGCACCGCCTACTTCAAAAGGATTTTTGAGTCTTGATCGTTTCAAAGCTAGGGTGGTAATTGAATTTAGTGAATTGGAATTGCAGGCATTGGATTTGATTACATAAATTCGAATTCAATCCTGAATTGGAATTATATCATATACATGAAAAATATTTAGAGCCCATTTGGTGACCTTGTTTTTCGGCGTATCAGGCTTATTAGACATTTGTTTCACCAAACACGTAATTGGGGTTACTGTTTTATACTCCCTCCGTCCCAATCCCGTTGCGGTTTACAATGCTTGATTAACGATAAAACAAATTGATCTTTATCCGCACTAATTTTTTTTAGGAAATAAATTTTATATTCAGAAACTACATTAAAGTTTTAATATAGCAACTGGAAATGGACGGAATTTGTAAATATATTTGGTGGATGGGCTTGGTGAGACCGGCTGGTCCCCCCAATTTTGTTTAAAGGGCCAAGGGCCATAAAATAGGTCCTAGTAGGCCTAGTCAAGTGGCTGTTAGTAGCAGTATTTATCATAGAGAAAATTGCTATACGTAGGAATGTAGGATCAAATCATACCATTTTTACAAACATAAGACCTGGAATTGTTTCTCTCATTCGTAAGACTTATTTAATTCTATTTTTGAAAACTCTATTTTTACCTTCCAATTTTACCCTTCATTTAAAATTAATTAGGATAGCTTCCCCAACTTCTCCATCTCTGCAGATTCATCGACAACATGCCCGGCCACATTCACCGATCCTAACACATCGCTCAATGAACCTGACAACTTGAAATTGACATGGTCTCACCGAGCATCGGCGGCGTGCAGCTGCAATAGGGTGTTGATCTCTCACACACACTAACATCTTGATCTTCGGAAACCAAATAGAAGAAGCCTTCAAGCTTTGTGGCACCATAAATGATGCTAGATTGCCTGTGTTGCTTATTGCGGAGTTTTTGACAACCTTCTGATGTAATTTCATCATTAGATACAATGAATTGTATATATATATACTCTGTATTGTTTTACGTTACCTACTCTGTCATTGAGCTATTATCAGAACTTATTGTCTGCTTAATGACTACTTACTGTCTATGTATTGTCTGCTATTGAGCTATTATTAGAACTTATTGTTTGTTTACTGACTACTTTCTGTCTATGTATTGTCTAGTGTTTGCACTTTGATTTTGGATCTGGTTTCTTCAGAAATTTTGCAGAGTACCTGGTGGCTTTGTGAAAATATGAAATAGAAGTTTGAAATTGGCAAAATCAATGTCCAAAATTATAGAAGAAGAAGAAGAAGAAGAAGAGGGAGGAAGAAGAAGAAACCTCGGGTGGCAGCGGCGGCCGATGCAGCTGGTGCGGCGGCCAATGCAGCTGGTGCGTCGGCAATCGATGGTGCTACATCCCAATCGGGTTTTCCGGTTGCGTTTTCTGCAATTTATTCCATGGAGTCTGCGATTTTGGAAGTTCCAAGCAGCCAGTTTCGTCGTTCGCAAATTTCTAATGTTTGTAGCAAAGGGCTTTTTAATCTACTGGAGCTATGTGATACTCCGTATTAATTTAAGGGTATATAAGTCTAAACACATCCACTTATGTCCTACGCATATTTGGAGTCCTAGTTTTAGAAACTTTATATGATTAAGTCTTATTTGTAAAATTTCCCCTTTATCATAATCAGGTTCACGCTATGTTCGATGTCAGACCATGACATATTTTTCCAATTCCCGGTTGGTTCTAGTCCCCAATTGATATTGATTTGATCTTGGGCGTTTTTAATATACTTTTAATTATTCTATTGCCCTCTCCATCCCATCTACATTTCTTTTGAATTTTAAGCTTTCAAATGGACATCAACCCTTATGAAATGTTTCCAATGGCTTCATAGCCAAAAAAACAAAAAACAAAATAAATGAAACCGGCCCCGGCTTGAAAAATGGAGGCTCGGGACTTCTTTCCCATTGGTTCGGTCTTAGTCCCAAACTTGAACCTTATTTTATGACCTCAGTTTCGGTCCCAGACCAGAACCTCATTTTCTGGTCCCGATCCTCGTTCCAGTTCGAAACTGGGCGGTTCTGGTCCTGGACTAGTCCCAAGATCAAGACCGAGTCCATGCCTAATTAGGTTAGCTGTTTGTATTGTTATTCAGTTTTATGTAATGTTATTGGATTTTATCTGTGAATATAGTTAATGAATTAATTAATATCAATGATATACAAAGACTAGAAATAGGATAAATGTAATTCAATCGCGATATGTTTCTTGTAATTTTTGGATTTAAGTCTCAATATAGCGAAGTTGTTCTCTTTTAGTTTAAAATGTAATTAAGTAAGAAACTAAGTTTGTCACTTTAATTAGCACATGTTTCTAGTTTCTACTACAATATGGTACTAATATTTAATAAAAGCCAATGTTTCTAATTGGGCTTCACACTTACATTCTTCATCAAATAATTCTTTTGGTGCTTGGGGTTTATGTCAACTCATCAATCTCGAGACTTGCACCTAGTCAAAGTTCTCCTCAGTCCTGGTTTTAAGATTCTGGTGCAACACATCATGTTACAACAAATCCTTTGAACGAACATGGATCACGATTATTCTACTATTTCCATTGACAAACTTTTTATGGGAAATGATCAAGGTTTGGATATTAAGTCTACTAGCTTTTCTTCCTTCCTCTCCCCATAAAATTCCTTTCTTTCATTTTCTTTTCACAACATGTTTTATGTTCCTTGACTTATTAATGTTAGTAAGTTTGCTAAGGATAATTAGGGAGTGTTTGCAATTGCTTCAACTTTAAAAAAGTGATTTTTTAAAGTGATTTTGGGAAAAGTGATTAATAGTAAAAGTTGGTAGTGTTTGAGAAAAAAGTGATTCTGAAAAAGTAAAAGTTGGTAGTGTTTGGTAAAATAAGTACTTTTTGTGTAATAGAAAAAGTGAGAAGCAGTTTAAAGCTTCCTTCTACCTGCTTCCAGCTTTTAGCTTCTAAGTGATTAATTTAAGCAGAAGCTGTCATTTGAAAACACTCTTTTCAACTTTTTTAAGCCAAAAGTTGAAAAGTGCTTTTTTTAAGCAATGCCAAACACTGCCTTAGTGTTTTCTTTGAATTTTGTTTTTATGAGTGCTTTATCAAATCTCATGATTCTAAATAGGTTCTTATGCATGATATACTTGACAAAGATGGTCTCTACAGATTTGACTCTGTTCGAGATCTTACTTCCATCAAAGATGTTCCTGTTTGCACTCTAAGTCGGCATCCTACATCTACATATGATCAATCAATTAGTTGTAGTGTTGCTTCATCTTGTTTCGATTATCGGATCATGTGTAATAAATTATCTCAAGATATGCCTTCAATTGAGTCTAGTAGCAATCATACTGGTAATCTTTGGCATCTTAGACTTGGACATCCCCATTTTGAGGCCTTAAAGTCTGTTCTTAAACAATGTAATATTTCGTATCCATCTCATCCCTTTGTAACCACAATTCCTTTGCCATTTGAACTTATTTTTACTTATCTATGGGACCAACTCCCATTTCTTCTTTTAATGGTCACTCTTACTATATATCTTTCAAAGATGCTTTTACCACATATACTTGGATTTATTTTCTCAAAAGAAAGTCAAATGTCCTTCGACTTTCAAACATTTCTATGAGTATGATATATAAAACACAATTCACTACCCCTATAAAATTTATCCAATCTGATTGGGGTGGTGAATTCACATCATTTACTCAATTTCTTACTTAAAAAGGTTTACACATAGACTTATTTGTCCTCACACTCATCATCAAAATGACGAAGGGGAACGCAAACACAGATCTATTGTGGGAAAAGGTCTTGCTCATTCTTCTCTTCCCTTCGAATTTTGGGATATTGCTTTTGCAAGTGCAATTCATCTTATTAATTGAACACCTTCAACTACCAATTCCAACTCAATTCCTTATACTAAACTCTATAACTCTGTTCCAGATTATTATTTTCTCAAAGTGATTGGCTACTCTTGCTATCCTTTTATGAGACCATATAATAAACACAAATTCGATAATCATATTGATGTATGTGTATTTCTAGCCTACTCACCCCAACACAAAGGTTATAAGTGAGTATCTTCTACCGGAGAAATATACATCTCTAAAGATGCTATTTTTAATGAATCAAAATTTTCCTATTCTTCTCTTTTTCCGAACTCTTCTTATGCTTCAACTTCAAAACACTTCACTAATACACCTTTAAAAGTCTTATGTAATCCTTCTTTCTCCTTCTTCTTCCACTACATTATCCGAACCAATAATAGTCTCCTCTTCCTAAATATCAATGACCACCCAATTTAGTCCAACTTCTTACCTTCCGATTCTATTTCCTCTTCTAATTCTACTACATCAAATCCTGAACTTCCTATCAGCACTTCCACATCTACCCCTTTAGTTCATTCTTCCAACACCAATCCTATGCAAACTAGAGCTAAATCTGGAATAGTTAAGCTTGGACTTAATTCCACCTTGCTCTTAGCTCATATTGAGCCAAAGTCTGTGAAACAAGCACACCCAGTTCACCCAAACGGTATAAAGCTATGCAATCAAAATATGATGCTTTAATGTCTAATAACACTCGGTCTCATACCTCTCTACCACATGACAAACATGCAATTGGATGAAAATGGATTTTTAGACTTAAAGAAAATCTTGACAACTCTATTAATAAATTCAAAGATCGTTTAGTAGCAAAAGGATTTCATCAACAACATGGTTTTGATTTCAATGAAACCATTTCACTAGTTGTTAAACCCATTACTATTAGACTTTACTCTTTATTGTTGTTTCTAATTCTTGGTCTATACAACAACTTGATGTTCATAATTCCCTTCTAAATGGTGATCTTAAAGAAGAAATGCATATGGTTCAACCTCCATCGTTTCCAGCTTTTGATCAGTCTCTTGTTTACGAACCTAATAAAGCTTTATAGGGGTGGCCAGGTGGGCATAAAAACCGCACCGAACCGGCCCGTAATGGTACCGAACCGAATATCGGGTATTTAAATGGTTCTATAAAATTTTATCCCGAAATGTTCCTCAATTAATTTAAAATTAACATTAATGACAATTAATTTCTAGTAATGTAGTGTATATGACTTTTGTTGTATCATATTTGTGTAGTTTTGTAATGTACTCCGTAATTAATATGGTTTGAATCACAGCTCTTATGGTTCAACTATGAACTATATTAGAATTAATATTCAACTTAGAACAAAGAAGAAGAACATTAAATATTTGTACTCTGTTCAATAATTTAACGATATTCTTTTTATATGTTCTCAAGAATTTCATAAAGATAATATTATACGATTGTATATTGTCATTTTGCTATATTTTACTAAATTTCTGTCACTGTTTGAGTGTTTTTGAATTTAAATACAAAATTGTTAACCTCTTCAATCTTTTTTAGTATTTAGAATGCACTTTCTTGTATTTTTATCAAAATTTCGCGTCAATCGGCTCGTGTGATGATATCTACTAATTGCAAAATTTACTCAAATGTTTCGCCATGTGTTTAGCATTGTACTGAACCGTTTTGTACCATTCTGAAACGACATGGCACCGAATGGTTCTATCCTTAGAACCGGACCGTACTGAACCGTTAGAAACCTCACAGATACATTACGAGTTTTGCTAATTTACCAGACCGTTCCGGACCGCGCCCACCCCTAAAGCTTTATATGATTAAAACAAGCTCCCAGAGCTTGGTTTCTTAAACTCATTGCAACTCTATGTGTTGATCTATGTTGATGATATTCTTATTATTGGAAACAACAAAATTGGTGTTCAACAACTTATTCATAAACTGAATTCTAATTTCTCTCTTAAGCATTTGGGAGATCTTGATTCCTCTATGGGAATAGAAGCTCAAAAACTATTTGATGGTAGTTTAAATCTTTCTCACAAAATATGTGAGAGATCTTCTGGATGCAGCAGATATGACAAACTCTATAGGAATTTCAACACCAATGGTTAGCAATTGTAAACTTCTCAAAGAAGGGGGGAATTATATGACTGATCCCACTCACTACACATCTATTTTGGGAGCTCTTCAATATGTCACCTTAACAAGGCCCGAAATTAGTTGTGCAATTAATAAAATTTGTCAAATTATGGCCTCACTCTTAGAAGAACATTAGCAGGCAGTGAAACGTATCCTAAGGTACCTTTCAGGTACTTAAACATGGCCTTCTCAAGCCAGCTCTCTCAAGTTCACCTATTCAACTCATAGTCTTTTATGATGCTGATTGGACTTCAGATCCTAATGATAAAAGATCAACATTTGGCTCTTGCGTATTCTTAGGACCTAATTTATTTCTCGGTGGTCCATAAAAGAGATTTGTGTTGCATGCATGATATTCAGCTGAAGTTGAATACATCAACCTAGCTGATACTGAAACTGAGATTTTATGGCTTCAATACCTACATCAAGAGATCCATGTTCCATTTTATGTTCCTCAAATCTATTGTGATAATCACAGTATTGTCCACCTAGCACTTAATCCTATTTAAACTCTAGAATTAAACACATGGAACTTGACATGTACTTTGTTCATGAGAAGATCTTTCATAAGAAACTTCATGTTTTACATATTCCTGCTCTCTATCAAATTGCTGATGTGCTGACTAAACACTCTCTAGCTCCAAATTTCTTGAGTTAAGACCAAACTTTGTATTGTTGAATTTCTAACTAAATCACACTAAGTTTGAGGGGGTAATATTAGGAATATATCTTATTTGTTGGGAATAACAGGATCGTGCTAATATGAGAGAAAAACACTTCTATTACTTTCAAGAATAGAAATAAGAGACATACAAGCTCTAACTAAAAACTCTCAAAACACCTCACATATCTCTCAAGAATATTCACAACTCAAACTTGGTTGTGGTATTCTAATCTATGATCTAAATTGCTTGATGATAGAAAGACTCTCCAAGCTCTCTATTTATAGTACCAAAACAAGGTAGTATGAAGGTGGGAGGAAGATGTGTTGAAACTAGGAAGAAGCTTCAATGGAACATGAGGAAGCTTCAATGGTGGTTGAGGAAGCTCCCCTTGTTATTCTTGCACATGGAGGAAGCTTCATGGAAGCTATGAATTGAATTCTTCATTATTGTATATAGAATACCTAACTAACTAAATACTACTAGCATTGTTACTTTTAGTTAGTTAAGTAGATATAACAGCTACTCTTTCTATAAATACCTTGTAATGAGATAAAATCAGACTTAATAGACTCATACTTCATTGTTTTAAATACTCCGCTATGTTTCTCAATACTCTTCTAAATACTCTGATATTTTTAAAGGGTAAAAAAGTCATCTTTATGACATTTTCAGAGGAATGTGACATTTTTACACAAGATGTCATTTTTTACAGTGATCGGAGTTTGTGGTGCTGGAAGGTGGGGGATGCAGTGGCGGTGGCCTACATGTTTTTTAGATTTTTATTTTTTTTTGAAATATTATTTATTTATTTATTTATTTATTTATTTATTTATTTTATTTTCCCATTATTATTATTATTATTATTATTAATTTATACATATTTTTAATATCTTTATGTTTTTAGCATAAAAAACCATGATTTTTTATTATTAAAATAAATCTAATAAAAATAATACTAGTAAGAAGGGAGTAGAATAAGAAGGGATTTTTTTTGAAAGGAAATAACTTATATTAAAATCAAATGAATCAAAGCAACAAACATGTCCCAAGACCTACACCCCCTCTCCAAGCAATACCAAAAGTCCATCGACCCCTGCATCATGATCAGACATACAATAGTCCACCCCGGATAGAGCGAGACTAATCGCTGAACGATGAGAGCAAAGAGGCATTAGCGACTGAGTCAGCATGATTGTCACTAAGGCTGCACATCGGGCGGGTTGGATCGGGTTTGCTATATTTTTTGGGCCTACCCGATTTGTTCGGGTTGACTATTAACCAACCCGCGGTACGCAAAATAAGTTGGTCAACCATGCATGAATGGGTCGGGTAGGGTCGGGTATCGGGGAAAAAATCACTTCGGGTTGCATCTTTCATGTGGAAAATTAATGTAACCAATTTAAAACTCGATTAACTTGTTTCCAAAACACACAAACAAATACAAGTACTCGTATCTTTGATAAGCCAAAACATTAGGTAATAGTATTAAAACATCCTTCCGTAAAAGATGTTCATTTAGAAGGAAACGTAAATATAGAATAATCACCTAATCAAAATGATAAATGTTTAATTATAATTCTAATATCATAAAGTCCTAGATAGAGCACATTGGTTTTAAATTGAAATTATCCAAGAAAATGTTGTAGTATATTAATTGTAAAATGAACTTCGGCCGGGTCGAGTACTATCGGGTTTGAGATTTTAATTCCGCAACCCTACCCATTAGGTGCGAATTGAAACATATTTAACCCATGAATATTTTAAAAAATCAAATACCCGATTAAATAGGGTCTGGTAGGGTTGGTCGGGCGGGTTATGCGGGTTCGGGTTATTCTTATGCAGCCCTAAGTGTCACCCAATAGAAACCTATCTAATGAAATAAACCAAGCAACAACCATACTCCCCTTAGTGTTCGAATTAACGATAACAACAAAGTTCATAATTAAAAAACTCAAAAAGAGTAAAATGGAATTAAATAAAATAATCTTATGGAGTAACCGAATCCATACTTCAAACGTCATTCTCCATGACGACGATTCGGGAGGGGGATGGATCATCAACACTTCATCTTCTTCCTTACGGCTCTGGAATTTTCCATGCCACATACATTAAGCAAAGCCTTCCACTCAAATACTCAATCCCTTAATCTGGTCCGCTCGTAAAAGGCCACCACCACAAGCCCTGAATTTTACCGATCCTGGATCTTCCATCTTCCTTATGATTGGCACAGTATTTAGCTGCCGCCTTATCTTGCTTTCGTCTTCCTGAGCAACCGAAACCCTGCCACCATGAACAATCACCACTGCCGTTCGTCAAACTACCCGACACTTCGTGGAAGACCTTGTTTAGACTTCCCGCGACGTCCGTCCTTAAACCAGTCGTCCATCGCTTCCTTCGTCTCGCCCGAAGTGGCGAAGTCTTTCTGAGTGCCTTGCCTAAACAAATGATCCCCTTTGATCTCCGGACAGTGGAAGCTGTCTGACCCAAAGCTACGGAACCTTAGAGCATCTCCAATGCTATAATGTGCACGGTGCACATGTGGCATGAGTGATAGCCACATAAATATTAGCATATAAATTATCTCTCTTCTTATTTGCATGATTTTATACAATTTTGGTAAGTTTTTCCCTGCAATGTCAACAACAATGTCAACATCTAGACGGTCTCCTTGACATTGTGGAGAAAAACTTACCAAAAATGTATAAAATCATTCAAATAAGGAGAGAAAGAATTTATTTACTAATATTTATGTTGCTATTCCTCATGTCACGTGTGTACCGTGCACATTTTACCATTGGAGATGCTCTTAGCTATGACCTCTCCGCTCTATGACAAAGAATTTTTTACCTACTCAAAAGAAGGGACGTATGTTAATCATATTTTGGATATAAGAAGATTATAATCCTATTATTGCATTTAGATCTACTTTTAATCCTACTTAGAGCTAATACCCCTTAATATTAAACTTTTAAAAGGAGTGTCCATTGTCCAAACTTAAATGGAAACTTCTCAACACTATCGGTTGTGATTTGTGAATGCCCTTTTAAATCCAATCCGAAAGTAAAAATGCAGGTCTTACACGGGAGTTCATTAAAGTTTAAAATCCTAAATAAAATAATGCCCGCAAGTAAATCCCTAATTTCTCCCTAATTCTCTATTAATTAGGGAGCCGACTTCTGACTTCTCAAGCAAATTCAATAGACTCACCTACAACTGATCCCTTTTTTCTTTCTGATCTCATTCTTTATTCCACCGATCATAGTCAATAGAGCATTCTGCCCATTTCAGAGAAGTGAGAACCTAATTCCAAACACAACTACGCCAAATCCTCAACTTGTAGAAACTACATCAGAATTTGCATAAGAAAGAATAACGTATATATTCTGTCTCTCTCTCACTCTCCCTGCCCAGAATATGAGAGTATATAGCTACTGTGAGGATTGAAGTAGTAGTGTTAGTACATAAATGAAAATGGGTTGTTTTTGCATCAGGCTAAAACATCGAGCTTATGAAGATCCTGCCACTTTATCAGCACAAACACATTGTAAATAGCAAAACTCCCTATGTTTTAGCCTTTTTCTTTGTAAGTTTTGTTTGAAATACTTCTGTTTTGAGAGGATAAAGACATGCATACTTTTTCTTTTGTATTTGCAGTTACAGTGAAAGAAGTGAAGGCCCTGTTTGAACTTTTCAGCAAAATAAGCAGTTCTGTTAAAGATGATGGCTTTATCACCAAAGTAGAATTCAACTGTTTTTTTGTTTTGTTTTGATACCACTTGGACTGTTATTTTTGTTCTTGAAGATGACTTTTATTTCTTAATTTTTTTGGAGCAGGAAGAATTCCAGATTGGGCTGTTTAGAAACAGCAAAAAACAGTCTTTCTTTGCAGATAGGGTAAGTAAAAAAAGAGCAGTACTTAATTTCCCAACTCCATTATAATGAATATTTTGAATTTTGGATCAGATGTTCAAGTTGTTCGATTCCAACAACGATGACGTGATAGACTTCGGGGAGTTTGTTCGAGCTTTAAGTGTTTTTCATCCTATTGCTTCCTTGGAAGAGAAATCTGATTGTAAGAAGACTACCAGCATTCCATAAATCAGTTCACAAAACATAACCCCGCGTTACTGGTGTTAGTATTAAGACTTGAGATTCCATATTAAAACGTTGATAAAATAGCCCATATGTGTGAGATGACTTGACAATACCATATGTGAGTTCTTATGTTTATGTATTTAGCCTATGCGGGATGATTTAATAAATACGTTCTCGTTTTCTCGCAGTTTTGTTTAAACTCTACGACGTGTCTCATGTTGGCTTCATTGAACATCAAGGGGTAAGAAAAGCCTTTACTTTATTAGTTTATCGCTCCTTAATGTATAATGCTGATACCACTGTTGTTCAAAGCCTGCCTGTGACATACAATCAGGTTAGAAAAATGATTGTGGCACTTCTTCATGAGTCAGAATTGTCACTTCCTGATGATATTATTGAAGCTATTATCAACAAGGTAATTAGTCCTCTTTACCTTAATTATTTTAAACTTTTCTGAACAGTTTTTTGTTGTCTTGAACCTTGTTGTGGTTATTTTCTTCACTAATCTTTTTCATTTTAATATCTTTTCTACTTGGTTCATGAAGACTTTTGAGGAAGCAGATACTAATGATGATGGAAGGATAGATGCAGAAGAGTGGAAGGATTATGTATCTAGGAATCCATCTTTGTTGAAAAACATGACAGTTCCTTATTTGATGTATACAATTCTTTTATTCTTTTCACATCTTCCCTTATTTGATACATGCAATTCTTATATTCTTTTCACCTCTTCAAAACGCTCTTGAAATTTCATTACAATCATGAGAAAGTTATATATTGGTGATTTAATTTGTGCAGGGATATCACAATTGCATTTCCTAGCTTTAAGATGAAACCAGAAACCGATGAGGAGACAAGGAGCGACTTCTAAATTGTGAAACTGAAGTGCAATATATTGTACATCTGTATCATATACGTAGTATCATATCTATACATACATGAGAACATTGTAATTTTTGTACCACAAGAAAGATGGAAGGGGACTGGAAAACTTTAGTTTTGAGTAAAAACAATTTTCTCTATTAGTTCGACATGATTATATTGGTCTATTGGACTAACTACGGAATTTAGGCCTACTCAATATTCACTACCGAAACATGGTAGTCCGTAGTACTTACTTGTATTTGGAGAATAAAAACATGACAGTCTTATTTTGAAATACGTAAACGTTTCTATTCCTATTTAGAAGAATTTCCCTACACTTTTTTGTACACACCACTGCGCATGTCGGTGAACGAACTATACTTTTGTAGGTGAATAGCCTATTTCACATACAAAACATGTCCTCTGGCGTCCGTGAACATGTTTTGTGAACAGGCTACTTAAAAATAAAAAAAATAAAAAATAATTTGTTCACCGACATGTATACTGTACAAAACAGTTTGTACAAATAATTTTATTCTAAACAAGAACCAAAAAGGTACTACGTACTTACCAACCAATATACTACGTTTGTCGTTTTTTTTTACTGTGACAAAAGACTAAGATTAATCCAAAAAAGAACCAAAGAGTTATTAACAATTAACAAACATTACAGATAGCTACTTGACCACGTTAGAAAAATTAAATTAAATTAAATACAAAAACAAAAGAAAGCTAAAAACAAAGCAGATAAAAAATAACTTGTTTACAGATGGCTCTAAACAACTTCCAAATGGTTACAAATTACAATTATTGATGTAAAAATAATGTTGTCATTTCTCTCATTAATCATTTAATTTGTAATTTCAATTATTTCTTTCTTGTACTACATAAACCTCATCTATACATTTTTTATTTTATTATTTTTCTTGTTTGTCAAACTCGACCAAGTTTAACAAGTTTAATTTTTCAAAAATGATGTTTATACTCACCTTTATGCCCACTTTTATATCTAACATGTTTGTGCAGTTTTTTTTTATTTGTGAACCCGTTCACAGACAAAATATATCTGTGCAAATTTTGCACAGACATAATAAGACATATTTGGATTAACAGAAAAAAAATCTTTACAGGCATGACAGATATAAGATGAATATAAAAGTGAGTAAAACACATTTTTAATAAGAGGCAATATTGAGGAAAAAAAGGATGACACCCCATTCCTTAGGCCATCTCCAACAGTTAACATCATTTTTTATACTAAAATGGTGTAAACATCACATCAAACAGTATTTTATCTCCAACAGTTTACACCATTTTCATCACCAAAAAAGAATATTCTCTTTTTATTCTTTTAACTAACTTTTTACCATTCTTCAATTTAAGTATCTAACTATCATATATTTATACATTAGCCTCTCATTTAATATTTTGATATTTCACACATTATTTCACACATACAAACTAAAACACATCATTTTAATATGTATTTTCACGCATTTCACTAATTAAAATACATCATTTTAATATGTATTTTCACGCATTTCACAAATGTTATTATATTTTTGTTATTTTGTGTCAAATTAATAATTTTAATTTGTTGTTCTATACAGATGTTTTTATTTGGACTGTAATTTGTCCCAGATCAGATCAGACCGGATTATACTAGACTTACATAGTTATAAAAATACAAAGAAATCAGACCAGACCACATCAGTTCAGATCAGACCAGACCAAATCAGACTAGACCAGACCAACAAATTTCAGTCCAAGTAAAAACATCCTAATTTGTTGTTTTAAAAATGGGTCAAAACTATAATAATCAAAACTTTGGGTCACATTTGAAATAAATAAAAAATAGAAAAAGAAGATGGTGTTGGATTTGGTGTACACCATATATGGCGTAAAGCCAAAGGCTCTCCACCAAAATGGTGAAATGGTGTTAAAGATGGTGTTGCTATTGAAGCATTTTTTTGACAAATACACCATTTTGGTGTAGAAATTGGTGCTTGTTGGAGTTGCCCTTAGGACCCCAAATGGCAAAGATGGAGTGATGAAGGGAGTCCGGGGAAGACATTATTGGTGTGATGTGATGTGAATGCAATAGTGTCACGCGAATTGTCGGTCAGGGGAGAGTAATTCCGTAGGATTTGGATTGTAACTGTCATCCTAAATTGATGCGGTATCCAGGATCCATGCAAATAAAATCCATTATTTTGTCTCCTTGTTGCCAAACTTTAAATTCTCTAACAACCATCCGTTACACACAACATTATTCCACAAGATAACATAACAATATCCTCAATTTGCAAACTCCCTTTAAAAATATATACTCGGTATATGCTAATGTTTTTTTGAAAGAAATGTTCTTCGCTCATATTTTAGAGATCATTATATTAAGACTTTTTCACAATATTTAAGAACGACATAAAATGAGTAATGAATACTATAGAAAAATAGAAATTAAAAAAAAGTATGAACGGAAAGATAAAAAGTAAAAAAATATAAGGTTACTTGAGCAATTTTAAAAGAAAAACTTACTAAAAATGAAAGTGTAACAAACTTTTAAATACATCTCAAATAGTCTACGACGTACCTCACCCTGAACATTAGGATGAAATCAACATTTTTTTTCCAATCCAGGATTAGCTTCCAAAGATTCAAAATCAACATGTTCATGTAGATTATAAGTCAAATTAGTTTCACTTACAACAATTATTTGATCCAATTCTTCATTTACTAATGATGAATCATTTGAATTAACATCTAAACTACTCCCGATACTTTTGCTTCTACTCCTTCAGGGAGCAGAAGCAAAAGTAGGAATGTTTGGGTGAGAGTGCAAAAGTGATTCAAGTGCTCTAATTGGGGGAGACCAGCTTCTGAAAATTGATTCTGCCTTTAAAAAAGAAGTCGAAGCAGAATCAATTCCAAACACCCCCTAAGGCGGATAAACAACCCTCCCAAGATTCTCCCTATTGAGTATGTTTTTACTTGGACTGTAATATTATAATCTTGTTTGGTCGGATCTGTTTAAGTTTGGTCTGGTCTGGTCTTGTAAACGTCCGGTCTCTGTGTATTTTATAACTACGGAAGTCAAGTCTGATCTGGTCTGGCCTATTTAAGTCTAGTCTGAACTGGTCTGATCTGTTTGAGTTTGATTTGATCTGGTTTGAAACTTAAAACAGTCCAAGTAAAAACACCTGAGTGTGGCACCTTGCTATACTATTTTTTGGATGGGTTGGAGCTTCTTTGGGGTGAAAACCTCAGAGAAGGGTTTTCACCCCTCCTATTGCGGTTATTAACAGGGGGTCAGGATGTAGTATGAGTGATGACAAATTAATATAACAATGAAAATTACCTTAAATAAGAGTCCGTTTGCTGATCCGTTTTTCGGCTTATCAGATAACTTTTTCACTAAACACGTAACTTTTGATTTTGCACGCTAAATTGTGCAATAATCAAAATAAGTAAAATTGAAGTTACTTTTATGACTAAAGTTACTGTAGAGGATAACTTTGGCTATTTTTTCATATAATATTTTCTTTATTTTTAATAATAAAATAAATTTTAATTTTTTTTCACTATTTAGAAGAAGTAGCTAATAACTCTGCCATGATATCAGTTTTTTGGTATCAAGCCTGTCCCAAGCCAGGATAAAGGAGCAGGGCCGTATATTAACCTGTGCAAGCTGTGCTTTTGCACAAGGCCTCCAAAAAAAGTAGGCCTAATTTTTTAGAAAAATATACTGTATATGTATATATTAAATATTTACTGTATAAATGTATGAATAAATATAAAGAAGCTTCAACATAATGACTATTAAAGCTCAAACACCTCTGCAACTCGTGAGTCTCAAGTCCCAATTGGCTGGCAAATGTGATTCAAGTTAGCGACTGAAATACATACCTAATTAGCTTCCTATCCTTACAAAGTCATTTTTGCAGCAAATCGGCACTTTGATCTAGCCACAATGGTCAAACTAAAATAAATTAATATACTTTTTCTTCTCTCATTTCTTAATTTATAATGATTTCAATTATTTTATTTCAAATTTTTGTTGGGGTAAACACGTAGGGGGTGATAATTCGAGTACTTGGATATCTTAAGGATCGTGTAAGTTCACTTTCCGAATTGATATTTCTCCCCTATGCCTGGGTTACAAGAAATTCAATCTAGGATAATCCTTAAGGACACTCTAGAACTTAGGCACAAGAACTAGAGCCAAACTAGTGAGTATATGGATTGTTATCTTTAATTTGAGTGCCAAAGTGATGAAGATATGTTGGATATTATTCCTCTACCTCCTCTGTACGAAATATGGTGGTATATATCCATATTCATCGTCCTAGGCAGTTGTAACACGATTAAGAATAACCGCAACAGTTTCTGGGAAACTGCTGGAAACTGCCTAACCGTTCTAGAACTCGGTCTAGAACCACAGAGCTGGTCTACTGAAAGTTATACCTCGAGTTCTACCTCGAGTTCCACTAACGTAGACACTTTGGAACTAAACTAGTTCTTATATACAAGTGTGCACTCCACACCTACTAACTTGTATTAGATCATAGTTCTAATTCCCATTGGCACTCATGTCATTTCCAATTACACAAAATGGCCGGTGACACTAAAATCACCAACAATCCTCCCCCATTTTAGTGTAACCCATGAAATGACATAACAAAGCTTACAAACCAAAACTTGCACATAAATGGAAATGTCGATACGATTGAATTTCCATCTTAGTATTTTACACATTCAAAATATTCGAGAATCGGGGTGTCCTACGGATTGAACCCTTCAACCCATTTGAATACCTCAAGATAAAATACATACAAGTTTCAATACTCAACTAGAATACAAACTTGACACAATTATAAAGCCGTGTGTCCTAATCCCATTCATGACCGTATAAAAGCCAAGTCCCAAGCTTTTTGAAGTGCGGCTACACTTCACGATCATATAGGTAATTCCTTTACTCGTGTACCTGCTTACACTTTATCAAAGGAATTATTAAGAAATAAATTCAGCCTCCCTACTACAGGTCCGAACACACACCTTGGGATGATTTTCATTGTGTGTTCCAATCCATTAAGTGTGAGCTTTCCGCATTGAATTCAGCCTCTAACGTTGTATTAGAGGGGAATTGGGTGTCTCACCATTAAG